GGTCGCCTCGACTGCACTCTTGATGGCGCAGGTTAGCTCCCGTATGGCGGTGCTCGCGCCTGTGTCCTCGACCGTCACTTTGTAATCTCCATCGAGCGACGGGTCGGGCTCGGCAATGGACTTCTCCAACCAGCTTTCTACTTTGCATTTATAGGAGTTTGCCGACGACTGTGAACAACGTGAATGCAGATCTGCTACTTCCACGGCCATCTTCTTTTGAAGCAACTCCTTCTGAATGCGCGCTTTTTCTTTTGCTAATTGAGCTTGGGATTGAGCTTGGGCTTGCGCTTCCTCTAACTCAATCTCCGCTTTGGCTGTTTCATATTGAAGGCGCAGCCGTCGCGCTGTGGACGACGACGTGTGAGAACGTGCGCCATCGCGGGCGCCGCGCCGTGCGCCGCCGCCATTTTCGCCACACGAGTTCGCACGTGGTGGACGATCTGCGACGTCTTTGCTCGTGCACTGCACTTCTGATTTCGCTTCTAGCTTCTTTTCTTCGTTAGCCGTTAATTCTTCCTTAGTGTGAGCACGTGTCCTAACGCCACGCGTCGGTGTACGAAATAACGACATTTTCTCGTTCGCGCGCTTGATCTTGTCTTAGATCCGGCTCGAAGGGCCACTTTGTGGCCGATGCGGGTGCGCGCGAGGTAAAGAAATGAGAAACTACAGTTATTGATTTAAACTGGGAGCGATCAGCGGGCATGCATCTCTGCGCGTGCAATCGCGCGTGGGCGTCTTGGTCGTCGGGTACAAACGTGTGAACTGAACAAAAAAAGTATGGCGGACGCAGGATGCGGAACGCCACCGCTCCGCGCGCCGCCGTGCGGGCATGCGCCGAAATAAAATACGCGAACGCGATTGGTCCGTTTGAACATGCCGCGCTGAGGCTCCACAGACTATTTAATCAATCCAAACACAAATCAATACACTGTCTGTACTAATGACTTATAATAAACATTATGTTACCTATAACAAAAAACATTATGTTTCACTAACATGACATTTAACTTAAAATAATAATATTATTCGCCGGGCGGGCCGTCTAATCATCTTCAACAGACCACTAACAGCTCGACTAGTCCTTCATAACTTACTATATACCTCTAGTGATTTGGCTAAATCATGCCTGAGTTTTATCCTTGTAAATGTAACCCAATATGAATTTATCGCTTTAGCTAACTAGCTAGCAATAAATGGTTAAATTGAATTGATGAGCTTACTTAACAAGTAGTTGGTGATATTATGTCCTTTCAATTCGATTTCAACATATTTATACTAATTGCAACATATACTAGAGCTGAAATATAAAAATAAAGTAATCAAATAATTACAAGGTTACACTCGACAACCTCTTCAACATTCCTAAACCCTTGATTCGCCTTTGATGATCATCACAAAGACATGAAAAGACTGTCATACAAAACATAATTGTGATTTTAATTGAAACCGTCTTCATTTCTTATACGATCGGTTTGTCATGGCTCTTACAGCACTTTTATCTCATGCCAAACATCGCCTTATTATCAATTTATCATGGGGCCGAGCCACGAAGACAGATTCCTTTTAATTTACCGAGGACGACGGCCGAACATAAATTACGAAGCATCATAATGTCGTCAAGAAAAACACGAATTTAATTTTGAAGAGTTTCTTTGAAGACTTAGGGCGTGTGCACACTGTCAGGAATGAATGGATTGATCGCGCACTGAAGTATCGTTCAATCGCTGTTACTGTTTGACATTTCCTCCATTCCACGTTAATCTATTAAATCAACATGGTTTGAAACATAAAAATGTTCTAATTTATTTCAAAAGTTTCATTTCTTTAACCCGTAGTGAGAATTTTGGTAGCTAGAGCTAGAACTGCTGGTAACGTGCCCTACATTTCAATAGAAAGTTTAATTTTCTGGTATGACACATTGTGCATTGTTAAACAAACTTTTGACAGCTACAAAACATGCACCAACATGATATCACACCGCAGCGCAGTCACACCAACTTGTGATAGAAAAACTAGAACTAAAGTCGATGTCCGTACGTGATTGTCTACTGCTACACAATTAAAAAAATCTGAACTATATAGTTTTGAGTACAAAGAACTAGAAAACATTTTATAAAACGTTTCCAGGCATCCCGACTCAGTTTACAGATTTAGACCTCTTTGTCTGTATACTGGTATAATTAAGAACCTTTTCAGCGAAGGCTATTCGTACTAGGCGCATAGAACCTCCCTTTCAGTGGAGAGCTTTTGAATACGAAGGTAAATAGAAGGTATGATTAAATACCTAGCTGTTATTAAGTCTGTTCAATGGTATCTTACACAAAGGATCCATAAACCACATCGTTTTAAGAACAAACTAATTTAATATTAAGAATTTAATTTTAAGCATACTTCTTCGAACAATCTTAGGCTATTGAAACTTGGAATCGATACAGTAAAGTCTTTTAAGTCAGATTACGAGTCTTTGAAATTTCCACGCTCATCGCATATCCAATATTCTTCGGTGGTGTGCAGCGGCCTAATGCGATAACGCAGAGCACCGCAGCCTCCCGTTGTTCATCAAAATGACAAAGGAAATACCCGACAGAGATGTTGTAAAAGTTAAAAGTGCTCGGTGAAGTGTAAAGTTCAGGCTTTCAAGGCATCTAATGACGTGGCGCGACAACCATAATTCTATTATTGTGGAAGAATCGATATCCCTTTGATTTGAGGGTGAAGTGCGATAGGATTTGTGGAGCGAAGTAATTATTGACTATGTAATCAATCGACTGTCCTGTCTCAATATAGAAGTTTGAAGTTCTAATTAGATCGTAAAGTGTGTAAAGTCAAATCGAATCACTTCATTCAATTAGACCACCAAAAGGCACTGTTAAACTTTTTGATCTCTGTAATGTCTGTTTACCTACATTTTGTTTTCCTTGCATGCCTGCATTACGGAGTATGTATGTATAGTAGTGAGTAGAGGCTCGTAATTACATTGACGTCAAAGCTCTTTTACAATGTTCAGGTTTATAAAGGTTTCTCTTGAATAGGGCAATGTTCTCAAAGTATGTCAATAGGTGTATCTTCTTATACCTAGGAAGAAATAACAAGCTTGATAATTACAGTATTCAAACTGAAATGTTTGTTGCGAGAGAACCGAAAGTTTAGTAAAACTAAAATTGTTTATTCGAACGTATAAAACCTTTGGCAAATACTACTTATTCGTGAAATAGCTGAAAGTTCACAAATAATACAAATATCCTTCAAAAGTTTGCCGAAAATATTTTCACAATTGCGTTTACAGCTTAGTCAGTTGGAACATAAACTTAATTTCGCAGTAACGAATTAAAACTCCGGCCCAACATTCAAATAAAAGTAAATTTAGTAATGGAATGCCGCAAGGCACCATAATCGGACCCATAACAAAAAGAGTGTAATAAAAATGTAACCACGACGCTATAACAACATCAGAAGTATGCCTAGCAAACCATAAAAAAGCTTCCCCCGATTCATCATATTTTATGGCATTTGGCAACAATCGTGGTCGTACAATCGTTTGTGGGGAACCAAAAAGGTCGTCACTGAATTATCGATTGCCAAACACTTTCTAACAACTGTTGCGGTTTCGATTCCATTGAATGCCTTTGTTGTGGTTTCCATATTATATTTATAGAGTTCCGATTTGGAGTTGGATGACCCAAATGGCTGCGGATTAATTGAATTAAATTAATGTTTATCTTCTAAATTTTTTTGGTGTAAATGTATGTACATGTAAATAATTTGGTAACTAATCAAAAAGGTCTCAACTTTATGGACAATCATCCGAACATATGTATATGAATCATACATATTTATTTACAAATAAAGTTATACGACTGAAATATTGCATCGCATCATCATCAGAAATGATTTAAACTAAAATAAACAAGGAAAAGATTTCGGAATAATTGCGATTCTCGATCCGCGCCGGTATATATCTGAACAACTCAAACTGATTACTGCCTTTGACGTCCCTCCGAGCAGGTCCTTTGACTGCGACATTACGGCTTTGATTGCAACGTTAGTACGACTCGAAATAGAATCAATGAAGTCAGCAATCCTTTAAGATTTAGAAACTAAAGGGACATTACAAGTCAACATGGAATGTTAAGATTGAATGAATTCAGAGACAGTGACCATTGATAAAAAGCTACATTAAAAAATCATACATATTTTTTTATTTATTTTTTTTAAAAACGTTGCCCCACACTAGGATTTATTATATATATTGGTGTCTGTACTCTGCAATGAGCCAATATTTATTTTCTTATGTGCATACTATATAACTGTGCAGATTATATAGGTATTTGATATGATTTCATCTTCTTGTTTGGATTAAAAAGTCCTGGTAACTCGATCATATTAAACCCATTAATTAGCCGTATTCGCAAAGATGAATCATCAAAAGCGACCTCATTCTGTAGTCTCAACCTTTAATTAAAACTGGTGTTGACTCTCCAAAGGTCTGGAAATGGCTTTGTAAATTCATGGATTATGTATAATCAAGAACCAAGTACTTAATTGGCTCAAATAATTCGACTTGGATGACCAACTTTTACGCAAATGTTTGTAAAGGTTGTGTTTGACAGAAAATTGATATTTGTTACGTGTACCTACTTATTTTTTATTTGCGAAAATAAAAAATGTATTAAACTATCAAACACCAAGCGGTCACCGGTGACCGTGACCTATTGTTCTTTAATTGTGTCTATAAAACCGGTACTCGACGAGTTAATTACTACATGTTGAAGTTATCGGGATTAAAATAGGAACTAAACAATAAAATATCAGAGAGCTGGCAGTAGCCTGGAACTGACAGCATCCATCCGCATTTTAATGCGGAGATCTGAGTAGCAGTTGCTGCGAGGTGGTTGATTGTAATGGCTTATGATTGTTTTATTTCTCATTTCTGTTAGTATTAGTTACATAGAACATTACATTTTTAAACGTCCTCTAATCATTATTTATGATAATCTTACCAGCAATCGTATAAGCAACGACAAGCACGATGACGCCAACATTGCTGAAGAGGAAGGCGAGTAGACCGCGCACGTAGTCGCGGATGCGTGACGCAAGCCTGCGCTTGCGACGGGGCATCATTCACCGCGCATCGTGAGGCCCCGCCCCCTCGCCTCGCACCAGCTCATTGGTCCGGCTTTATGTCATCTGAAGTGGGTCTGGAACAACCAAACATATTTTTTATTATAATTATAATTTTGATTTCAAAAATGTCAAGATGGAAAAGAAAATTCCAAACAACAGACCCCATACAAAGCAATAAAATTAATTTAACAAAAGAAACTCCAAACTTGATAAAGTGCTATCAATTTCATCTCGATGCGGTACGTAACGTATCTAAGCTCCCCATTCCCCGATGTATCGTCGAAGTCTTGTTAGAGTATCTGCTCTGCACGTATGGCCTCGACCGCAAGTCCTTCAAACTGGTGGATGCGCCGCAAACTTGCGAACATGACCGCACTGCATGATACAATCACACTAAATTAAGTTCCCTTGTTTGAAACACTACACGTATGACCGTGCTCCCTTGAGAGAAGATGTAGCTTGATTGTGTTAATCTGAGTATAGTATGTTGAGTATTATTAGGTTAGATGTGACAATGTGATCATTTATGAATGATCAAAGGTTTTACGTCAACAGAAAAACTATTCAGTAGAAATAAATTGTTGGTTAAGTATTACCGCTAGTTTTAGAATCACTATCACTACATAGTATAAAACAAAGTAGCTATTCGCCGTCGTCTGTCCTTACATATGCTTAGATATTTATAACTACGCAACGGATTTTGATGCGGTTTTTTTTTAATAGGTGATTCTTAAGGAAGGTTCATATGTATAATACCTACATGCATATTGCACCCGTGCGAAGCCGGGGCGGGTCGCTAGTAATATACAAGACATTAAAAACATAATTATTAGAAACTAACACTGAAATAGTCATAGCTAATTTTAGCAAATCTCTAAAGTTACATGTTGTAAAAATCTTGACGATAAATCGCCAAACTTTCTATTTTTTTATTATTATTTATTTATTTTTTTATGTACAAAATTTTATTATGGCACATAAGGTGAACTTAATGTCATATGGCATTCTCTACCAGTCAACCTTAATATCTGGGTTTAAAATAATGTCAATTTTCATACGACCGCCACTAAATGGCTCGACTGGTGTCGTCGGTGCATGTTTGGCACGACTTTACAGGTTCTGACCATTTTCCTCTAGTCATAGATTGTAACTTCAATACAATTAGCCGTAAGATAATTAACTGTGATAGTAACGATAAAATTAAAAATAATAAAAATCATACTTGGGGCACCAGGGACAGGGAACAAACGTTAATGTATTCTGAATTATGTGACGAAAATTTCTTTTATTTGATGGATAGATATGACAATGATTGTGAATTGAAATGTATGAAAGCGGATATATTGTGTAAGAATGAATGCCATTTTAAACGTATAGATTCATTCTACCACAGTATTATTCATACGCTGCAGTCATCGGCAGAGCGCACCGGCAATTTTGATAAAAAACATAAGGGTCGTAAATCAGTAAAGTAATAGGTTGGAACTATCACGTCAGGCGCTACCACACCAGGGCCAGAAAAATGTTTTCTCTATGGTGATACATGGTCGGCCACGCTCGGGATATTATTTTGATAACATGACTGCGTCACGCAGGGAGTTCAAAGCCGCGCATAAATATGTACTGAAAAACCAAGATAAAATGAAAATGGAAATATTAGCTAGGCACCGCTCAAATAATAATTTCATAGAGTTTTGGAAGGAAACAAAAAAATTAGACAATAGAAGTAGCATACCAGTAAACGTAGAGGGAGAAAATAATAAACAAAAAATAGCAAACATCTTTAGGAATCATTTCAATGAAAATAATGTTAATAATAATAGTAAAACGTTTAGTCATATTATGAGCGGGTGGGGTTCGGAGCCTCTCTGCGTTAACATAAATCCGAAAATTATTGAAGACATCTTAAAGAATATGAAGCGCGGAAGGTCTCCGGGCCACGACGGCCTTAGTATAGAACACCTACTTTTTGCGGGCAGATATATATGTGACGTCTTGGCGCGGCTCTTTAATCTCTGCGTGAAGCATTGTTACTTACCGGAGGCTTTAATGCGTACCTTAGTGGTACCTGTACCAAAAAACAAGACTGGTGATATCTCGAGCGTGTCCAACTATAGACCCATCTCCTTGGCGACGATTGCAGCCAGGATCCTTGAGCGAGCTCTTCATGCACACATCACAAAGTTGGGTATTGATGATGGCCAGTTTGGTTTTCGGCCTAAACTATCGACCGACCTTGCTATTTTCTCGCTTAAGGAGGTTGTTAGGTATTACACCGAGAACGATACCACAGTCTACGCATGTTTTTTGGACCTGAGCCGTGCATTTGATACGATAAATCATGACCTTCTATGGTCAAAATTGCACGGGTCGGAAGTTCCCTCTGAGGTTGTTGGTCTGATGGCATACTGGTATAGTAATCAGACCAACAGCGTCAGATGGGACACTGAAATGTCGGATCCATACAGACTGTCATGTGGTGTGAGGCAGGGCGGGGTGACCTCACCTGACCTCTTTAACTATTATGTTAATGATTTGGTCGTGGAACTGAGCGGTACACCCGTCGGACTGAGATTGGATGGCAGATATGTCAACAATCTGAGCTATGCCGACGATATGGTGCTGCTCAGTCCTACGATCAAGGGGCTGCAAAGGCTAGTTAGTGTTTGCGAGAGGTATGCGCGAGAGCACGATCTTACATACAACGTAAGGAAGACGGAAATGGTCGTCTTTGGATCGAGACAGGGGCCCGGAAATGTGCCGGAGCTGCGCTTAAATGGGCATACTGTGAAAGTTGTTCAGCATTTCAGGTACCTGGGTCACATTGTAACCTCCAACCTGAAAGATGATGAGGATATAGAGCGACAGAGACGTGCTCTGTGCGTAGTGGGCAATATGATCGCCAGAAAATTTTGTAGTGCAGCGCCTGACGTGAAAGTAACACTGTTTAAATCATTTTGTCAGACGTTCTACACGTGTCAACTCTGGACTAATTATACAACAAAAAAATCGCACAATGCCATCAGAGTCACATACAACAACGTCTACAGGCAACTCATGGGACTACCGAGAGGTTGCAGTGCTTCGGGGATGTTTTTGATGCTCGTATTGACACCTTTAATGCCATACAGCGCAAAAGGATAGCCTCCTTTATATCCAGAGTTGGCATGTGTAAGAATGGTATTGTTACGAGTATGGCTGACCGCCTGCATTTGACTGCAACGTACAGACGATGGTTGGCTATGGTCACCTAATTTGCATATTTTTTTTTTCCTCCTATTATTATGTTATTAATTAGTTTATTTACATATACCTACAATTATCAATTTTTTTTTTTTGTTATATTTTATAATTATATTTGTATTTATAAATATTGTGCATGTAACTATGGATCTTAGAGTCTGAAATAAAGAGTTATTATTATTATTATCCAAAGATATTTTAATAACCTTCTCGTAAGAGAGTTTAAGAACCTTATACACGGGCCGGTGCCAAGTGTATAAGGGGAAGTTTATATAGAATAAGTGGATGATAGAGTAGATGATGTGAGGAATTTTCTAGTAATGCGGCAAGTGTTGAGGATGGTTGCTTTTTGGAGTGTGTGGAGAGTGTAGGTAGGCATGTGGAGAGTGTTGAGGCTTTGTGTGAGGGACTTAGGTACAATACCGGTGGTTGAGAGGACAATGGGGACAATGTGAACTGTTTGTGCTCTCCACTGCGTTTTGATTTCTATGGCGAGATCTTGATACTTACTTAACTTTTCAGAAATAGTGGATTGTATGTTGTGTGAGTTTGGGATGGCAATATCTATCAAATATACTGTTTTGGTAACTTTGTCATGTACTGTAATATCCGGTCTATTGAAATGTATCGTTTTATCTGTAACAATTGTTCGATCCCAATATTATTATTATTAAAAAGCCTCATGAGACAGTTATCATAAATAATAGTACTTATAACGCCAAATGCATTAATAACAATTAGTCACTTGTCTCTACTAATATCACATAATAATATTATACATTATTGTAAACAGTTTCATTTCCCCGCCGGGAGCCGCAACATGGCGCGGTACAATAGTATCAAACTCCGCTACAATGTACCGCCGACCTCCAACAAGTGGGCCGTTTGCCCGCTTGCCATCTCAATTATACACACAAACCAACAGATTGAATTTAATCAGATAATGAATATCTTCTCTAATAGTGCTTCAGATAGGGTTGCGATACAACCGGAATATTCCGGAAGCGTCCGGATATTTAGGCCTTTGTCCGGAGTGTGTAGGAAATCCTTAGCCATTCTGAATTTTTAAAAATAAGTCAAAGTCAAAGCATTTATTTAAATTAAACTATAATTTGGTACTTTTGAAACGTCAACAAATGCGAAATAAATAATAGTCTGTCAGTCTGTTCATCAGTGCAGTTAGGTGCTCATTCCAAATAGTGGATGCGAATAGAGAAGAACGAGCAAGAAACTCCATTTGTTACTCTTTTAAATAAATTAAATAAATTATCAAGTCCGCACAGATAGGCGCTTTTCCTCAACTCTCATCCACATGCATCTTATTGTCAAAAATGTTCCCCCAAGGTCTGGCATTTTAATATTGTGATCTGGAAACCCTTGTTACATATCGATTTCACTCACAGTGTCTCTATTAATTGCAATAGAAGATATTATAGTGAACTATTGTATGTGCATAGCTATTATTGTTTTGTACAGATGCATTCATAGATATTCCTTTAATGCTGTTGAAATAGTTTTGTTATTCAAAGACTTACAGAACAAACTTGATCGAGTTTATTAACTTATGTGTGCGGAGTTAAAGCTGTTTTTCCTTTGGCTACACACTGCAAAGTTCTACAGTTATACTGCTTCTTTAAATCAATTAAATCTTATCCGTGTGAGAAGAACGCTTTAGTCTGAAGTGACCACTTACATAAGTTGTGGATATTGAGACTAACTTTAAAGCCGTCATATTACAAATGTATAATCACAGA